GATTAGTTTCCAATACACCTGCAACTTTATCTATCTTGCAGTGTAACTTCCCCGCTGCAATGAAACGAGACAGCTCCCTGTATATGAAGGAAATGATCAATTACACACGTCTTGGCAAAGCATAACTTTTTACTACCTGCTCATTATTCACACGTTCTATAGGACCACAACTTTATAAGCACTTAAAACCTTTATAGAACATACTCCTAATCTAATATTCATCAAGAGAATCAGAATAAAATGAAACAACTTACAAATCGATGAAATCTACTGTCACCCCAAATGCTTTAGCCATAGCCTCAATTGTAACACTCTTGTAGGCTTCCAAGAACTGGGAATAAACAACAGTTCTGACCTCCCTCATGTAATATCGGAAGTGGGGATGCAAATAGCGGTCCAACTTGATGTGCTCCGTCAAGCCAGCTAAAAGTCAAATAGAAACTCGATTGAAGCAAATTATATACCAGTAAATTGTTAAAACAGGTTCAATATGAGCATCTTTATTTATTTATTTTTAGTTAAGAATGAAAATAATGTCAAACCATGTGGTGCAAATAGCAGCACAAGGATCCATGTACCAGTTTCTTTTTCAGATTTCTGTTTCACCAGCATGTCTACAGAATGTGGAAATGACGCTCCGACTTATCTGAGTTATCTTATGGGTGAAAATTTCTTCTTATTGAACTAAATTACTCTGTGTTCTTTCTTTTTGTCTGATGGTCAAGCAATAACAATTCCCCAAGATTTGGTTTAGTAGTAAAAGATACTTACCAAAAGCTGAAAAAAATGATTTATACTGGCATTCATACAGAGAGTTCATAAACTCCGATAAATATGGGATTTTGCCAATGACAGTCAGGATCTCAGGAGCATCCACAACCTGCCACATATTACAACCACCGTAAGTAAGAAATGCCGCTTGTTTAAGCACAAAAACTCACATAATCACATTGAAATGCTGTTTGTTTAAGTGCATAATAACTTAATTCCAGGGAAACCATTTTGGTAAACATTTAAAGAAAATATGGATACCTTTTGTTTCAGGGAAACTCTATCCAAGGATATAATGCTCGTAAGGACCGTGTAAAATATGAAGGTGTCATAGGGAAATATCTCGTAAGTCGTGAAAGTAGAGATAGAATCAAGGAAAAGATTGGCTGCTTTCTTGAAGTTACGGGTGGACATGCAATATAGTCCTTCATACACCTTCAAACGGTTCTTCCTCTCCCAGTCACCTCCCTCTTCAAACAAGCTGTCTTGCCAATAGTCAAAATCAGAGGCCAAAATAAAATGAAATGATGAAATTTTTTGTCTACGATAATCATCTACGTTGATCCTTACTTCTTTGCTTTATCAATGCTTTTAGAGATGAGATTGAAGTCCATGTGGAAGAAACCAATCTGTAATGTGTAGAAAACCAAGTCCATCTTTTGTCCAACCGCAACAGTCTTACTTTCTGTTAACTTGAGTTGTTCCAGTGCCTTTTCCTGAATTTTACAAGGGTGAACGAATTATATCAAAGAAACATAAGTAAAACGACAAAGTACATTTCTCTACCTTGTCACCAATTCTAATGAAAAATAAGGATTTCGCCAAGTGAGCTTCCCGAACTTCACTTTCACCCAAGTTTTCTTCTGCATCGGCAATCCTATACAAATTAAGCCAAAGAGACAAAATTATGAAGGACATGATGACAAAAGGATTGCCCTAGAAGAACTACAAAGTAGTATCTGTGGTAACTGATGAGAATGAAATACGAACTAATCAAAGAAATGACAATAACACAACAAAAAAACCTAACAGACATCTGACTTGGATGGCTCCATGACAAATTATAGAAACCAGTGAGGGTCTATAATTAGAATTTGGTTGTACAACCAGCAGGAAAATAAGAGAAGGATATATTTTAAAGCAATTAAAAAGTGCACGAGTGCATCATTGGTCTCCAGTACAATATCAAATGTAACAAATCACAATCCAAATAGCATGCCTCAAATCATTAACCAAAAATACCAATTTTAAATCACAAAAGCAAATCTGACAATCCATATGTTCAAGAGTAAATTTAGTTAGCATTATAATACTACTAGTGATAGCTCCATGCAATTCCACAATCATGGAATGCCATACTTGAGCCTGTGCCAAAAAATTAAATAGAGGCCTCACAGTTATAGGCCCCATTTCTCTTCAGCTTATTTAAGAAACACAAGGCGTTTTAGAACTCATTGAACATAACAGTGACAACCATGGCACAAAAAAGGCAAAATGGGCCCGTGTGATAAAGCTCTTGATAATACTAAAAAAAAAAAAAATTTACGAAAGTTGATTTAGTCCCCGTTTGGCCCCCATTATTACAAATTAACAAGAGGAATAGTAATTTTTTGGAAAATGTGTGCTTAAAAAAGAAGGAATTTTTTTTGGATTTACGTGTAATATTATTTTATTGAAAAATGTGTGGTTGAGAAAAATGAATTATAATTTAATAAGGAATAATGGGGGCCAATAGGGGGCATAGATAAAAGTTGTAAGTCTAGTGAAATGTATGGTTCAAATTGAAGTTTTTGATAAAATTTTAACAAAGTTTTATCAAACAAGCATTTTATTAAATGACAAGAATACAACTAAATGAAGATTTAAAGCAACCGAAGGTCAAATGATAGGGTGGTGTATCATGTTCTATGGCAGAGAATGGAAAAATTTCTGATCAGTAATCATATGCACAACTGTGCAAAGCTTTTATATTCCGAAAAGCAAAATATTATATTGGACCAGGGGTGGGTTTAGGGCCAGACACCACCCTATCATTTGACCTTAAGTTGCTTTAAATCTTCATTTAGTTGTATTCTTGTCATTTAATAAAATGCTTGTAGCAAAATATTTTATCAAAAACTTCAAGTTCTATGGCAGAGAATGGAAAAACTTCTGAATCATATGAAAAGCTGTGCAAAGCTTTTATACTTCTGAAAAGCAAAATATTATATTGGACCAGGGGTGGATTTAGGGCCAGAAATTCATTTTTGTCCTTGCAATTTTTTTTATTTTTATAATGTAAAACAAAAAATTTATGTGGAATTTTTTTTACATATCTGACCAGCATAAAATATTTTTTAGTCCAGCTCTGCCCTGTATTGAATGATCACTATCACTCCAAGCAGCCAATCACTTCTAGCTTTATCTGTCTATTTCTGATATCTCAAGTTTTTGTTTTACCCACTTTCTGAGTGCAAGTAGTAAATCCAACACACAAAAAATAAAAAGCAACCACAACTGATGTGACATTGTAAGATACTCATATGTTACGTAAATCATAAATACATTGGTAGTAGAGCATTCCGCCTTAGAAGGAAGCCCCCCGCAAGCAGTGATGGACGATGTGGAAGCCAGAATGTCGGCTTGAGAAATGCAAACATTGATGAGAATTTCCAGATTGGGTTCAAAACTGTAATAATCGGATTCTATAGTCTTATATTTAGTAATGCCCAAACTCTTTCTTCCATATCGACGCCTTAATTTCAAGAAATCAGGAATTGAATTTTCACTTTCACTCGTAGTGTAGGAAAGAAATGGTAATCCTTTTAGAAATCAAATGAAATCGGATATTGAATTCAATTAGCGAAGATTGGTTTACGAGAATACTGTTTAGCACACGCGCTGCGAACAATCAGTCTCACCTACGATCTGCTCTCTAAGAC